TTCCGGTGACGTTTGCATAATTCAATGAAACCTCCGTGAACTCTTCAATAACATATTGACTCCATTTGTTTATAATATGTTCAATTTATTTATTTTTATATTTTTAAAATGCAACAATTATTCTCAATTTATTCTTTAAAATTATGATTATTTATTATAGTAATTATTCTTTAAATTATTTTTATTATTGAATTAAGAGAAAAGGAGAATTATGAGTACTCTTGTACTGGATATACAAGAATATGTTTAATAATTTGTTCGATTATTGACTTATAATATGCTTTTTTATAGGATTGTACGATCCAAATTTTTGCTATCCAATGAATGTGTGTAGAAATGTATTATATTAATTGTAATGTTACAATTTAATTACTCTAGGAATATTTCTTCGTCTTCTATAATTCAGAGTTCATAAAATATAAAAAGTTTCTCGATATAAGCATTAAATAATTAAGAAACTTATACGTGTCTCGTGTAAATTCAATAACAGTACAAGTTGATACATTTTTTCAACGTATATAAAAATCTAGCGAGTAAAGTTTCGTTGATTCTATAAATGATCATGCCAATAGCAAAGTTAAGTGCCGCAGCGTGCATAGGAAAGACCTTGAACAGTTGTTTCTTGAACGTATTTACGAACGTGTACACCGGGAAATCATTTTTAGCGATTTCACGTTATGTTCGGTTCAAATGTAAATGTGATTATGACAAGGTGACTCACGATGATATCGTTTCATGTAACCGGAGGTATTATTTCTAAATTTTCTGATGACCGGAGCTTCGAAATTCCGGTTATAATTTGAAAACAATTATAATTCATAAGACAACTGACGTCGAATATAAGTGCTCAATAGCGTAAATAACTAGATAACAGTATAATGTAAGAATTGTGATAGCAAATAATTAATAATTGTTCCTTATTATCTTTGCTACAAAGAAATAAGTGAAAAATTTTATCTTCGCCTATAATATACAGATGTGTAGACTAATTTTGTTCATTAACGCATTGTTGATCGGCAATTTTACACATAAGCTATTACCGTGTCACCAGTTATTATTTCGTAATTCAGTATGAAAGTGAAGCAATCTACATAAACTTCAATACATTTTATTTATACATATTGAATTGAAATGAATCTTTGGACATATCTTTTATATAACTTTGAATACTTAGCTCCTGCAATATTTTATATCACCCTGCGTTTCAAAAATTGAAACAACGATCGGTTAACAACGTTTGGGCAAGAAAATACGAGTTAACTCGTGACCAGTCAACAATATGTTAATAATTTTGTACAAAGTGATAGAATTCAAAATGATCTTGAATATGTAATCCAATAAAACCATCGACGTATATAATATGTCGTTGGCAATTTTGGAACAAAAATATCATGACGTGCGTAGCACGTCTTTCTAGAGCAAGTAATTAATAATCAGATTAACTGAATACAAGTATACATATATTTACATACGATTATTGAAAAATTTAAGTAAATTTGATATCGAAGTAAACACATTTTTCAATCATTTTTAACACTAAACGTATCCACCGATCGAATGACGTGATATATCTAAATTACGAAGTGTACATTCTTCTTGGTTGTCGTTAAAAGAATTAAAATTTATAATTCTTTTATATCGTCTAATGGTTGCTTTATGCGTTGTTTCCTATATTAAATTGACAATTACCTGTATTCCTGTCGGAAAAATATGACCTTTATTTCATAACCGGTCATTTGACCGGTTATTGTAGGAATGTGTATTGTATAAAGTGCAGGTGCGTTTAACGTTAAACGAGTGGCCCAAAATAAGAGTTTAAATTCTGTTTTTCAGTTCCCGAAAAGAGTTTTTGTGTAATAGTCTTGGATTAATTGAATATTAATATTGTTATGTTATTGGTAATATTAATTATTATTCATTGTAAATATTAATATGCAGTAGATATTCTTGGATTAATTAGATATTGATATAATGCTATTAATAATATTAATCATTATTAATTGTTATATTAGAATTGAATTAATCGAAGAACATTTCACAATAGCTTTACTTTTTGAGAACCCAGACATAAGAGTTAGACCATTATTATTCAGTGTTACTCAAATGTAAAAAGTTTCTCAATATAATCATTAAATAATTACAAAACTTACACATGTCTGAGGTGAATCCAGTAACAGTACAAGTTGATACATTTTTGCAATGTATATAATAATTTATTGCATGTTCATTAACAAACAGTGTCATATCTGTTTATACTTCTAAAGAGGTCATTAAAAGTGATTGCGTCCCATTTGTAAACATGCTTGCAGTACTCGACACTACAATCAACAGTTGACACAAACGATGCACGCAAGACCATGTGAAATCGCATTCCGTGAATACGTTTGCAGTATCCATTACAAACTCGAGAATTTCCACGATTCTTTGAGAATGTGAAGAAACATTGAAATGCGGCATAAAAACCGTAAAAAATTAATAATGGTGTTCATTTTTATGAACATATTTCGATATTTGTTACCTTTCGTTGGAATTTTTCGATTCTTTCTCCTTTTCCTATGACTTTTTCTTCGAAGAGGATCGACTGAGGAAAATCAGTCGATCTTGAACTCCGACACTAACGAGGCAACTCGCTTTTACCAATCCGTACACATATCGCTAAGGTACTTAGTGAACTTGTGTTGAGGAATAAATTTGCGGAGTCCCCGTGTTATTTACCTACAATTCCTCCACAATTATGTATCTCAGTTGCTTCTGACTACTAAGAAAACTGATAAGGGAAGGTATTGAACCTATAAATACAAAAAATTATAAAACTTTGTGTCTACGTAGAGTAAGTCAAGACTAATGTATTGCAACCTTTTTCATGCCGATCAATGTATTTTTTGTTTACACAATTATATCTGATATTCAAAAGCTAAAGTTCGATTAAATAAGCGTTATAATGAAATACGAATACTACTATTATCATTAACTCTTATTATATACCTTTAAAGGCAAAAAATTCAAGGCATTAACAGATAGTTTATTAAAAACTAGTAAGAGATAAGTTAAAATGATTGAAAGCAACAATCAGCAAGTTCTGTAGTATAATGCCATTGTAATATTCAGTTTCTATAAAATCTGGAGTATCATGAATAAAGTTTTCTCGATTAGAATTGTACGATACGCATTTACACTACCTGCCAACTTAAATTTTCTCCTGGTTGTACAGGCGCATGTATCATTTATGCAGTTATGGTAATTTATTCACATTTTTCTCGACGACCATTTTGGCTTAAATGCAAATTTCACTTGAAGTACGGTTTTCAATTTCCATCGGACAGGTTCACGTAAAGAGTGTCCCAAAATTTAGGCAAGATTTGAATGAAATAAAAGCAGTTTTTTTCTTTAAATTGTTATGTTTTTATTGAATCGTAAAGTACACAGGATAGGGTTATGTATGGAATAACACACAGGGCAAATGGCCTCCACGGCTTTGCTGGCACATACGCACTCTTTTGTCGAAATTTTCCATGACCATTTTGCGTAAATGTGGCTGAATTTCGTTGATGCAGCGTTCAATTTTCTCCTTCAATGCACGCATGCTTGCGGGCTTGTTGGCATAGGCCTTTGACTTCAAATAACCCCATAAAAATAAATCCAATGGTGTTAAATCACACAATCTAGGGGGGCAATTCTTATCACCGAAACGAGAGAGTACACGGGCAGGAAATGTCTCATGCAGTAATTGAATTGTTTTTCGGGCTGTATAGCATGTGGCACCGTCTTGTTAAAACCACATGTCGTCCACATCAATATCATTCAATTTAGGCAGAAAGAACTGTGTTATCATGACGCGATATCGAGTACCAGTAACATTCACTGCTTGACCAGCTTCATTTTCGAAAAAGTATGGTCCAATGATGCCTCCAGACCAAAATCCGCACCAAACAGTAACACGTTGAGGATGCATTTGTCTTTCGACAATCACATGTGGGTCCTCTAAACCCCAAATGCGGCAATTTTGACGATTAACAAAGCCATCAAGGTGAAAATGTGCTTCATCGCTGAAAATGATTTTGTTCGAAAAATCGGCATCCACTTGTTGCTGTTTAATACGTTGTTCTATCGTGTAACGCTCCATTTTTATTAACCCTAAACTATCAGCTGTTATTATGCAAAACAGTTTTTATGCAAAATTACATAAAATTATCATTATTGTGTAATATGTAATATATAATATTAAAAATCTTGTATTATTGTCAATATCGACTTTAAAAGTTTACCTGATATCCACGTACTCGTACTTGAAATAAATAACATTGGTAAATACTGAGGTGACACTTAAGATAACACCTGTGATTAAATCCTGAAACGTAGATTCTACTAACAATACTGTCACTTATCAAAACACAAAATATACAATACTGACAACACGAAAATAAGTTCACGGTCGTAATATTTTTTCCCTCCACTTAAAATTAAAAGAACTCACGATTATAATCATTTCATTAACGTTGGTGATAATTAAACTGAAACAGAGACCCTATTTAAAAGAACGTTTAAAACGAAAATGTTAAAAAGAACGCTTCGAATGGAAACGTCGAGAAGAACATTTCAGAAGGACACTTTGAAATGTACTTTTGAAAAGGAGTTTGAAAGAACATCGAAATTAAATGTAATAATGTTACGTAAGATGTTGCATTGTGTAAAATAGTATTCTTTGCTTTACTTGCGTATGGTAGGAATCGTTAGGTTTCTGAAGGATACACTATATAACAATTTTCTTCAATTACTTTTTCTTCTTCCTTCAATATCGTTAACCAGTTAACAATCAATGTTACATATTTGTGACGATCAATATTTTATATTTTGCACAGAGGAGAATAAATTTTTACGGGTGCTTTCATCCAATATTGTAACGCATGGTATAATCTGCGGCACTTACGTGTAACACGAACTACCTTCGTTTTCAAGAAATAAAATGTTAATAATAATTGTAATAACAATGATAATAAGAATAAAATATTAATAATAATTGTAACAATAATGATAATAAGAATAAAATATTAATAATATATTATAATATTAAATAAGTGTGCAGAAAGTAGCAGCGATTTGTTTCCTTGAATATTATTTGTACTTTGTAAAGATCATATGTTTTATTTAACTTTTATCTATGGACGTTCGTGTCACAGACCTCTATATAAAATAACGTGAATTTTGACATCAGTGAAATTTTCTTTGTAAATATAATTGATACTATTGCTATTTAGAGATATTTATATAAGTGGAAAGAAACAAATATCATAGATTTGTTTTTGTTAGTTGCTACAAACGAGAATATTTAACATTATTCGGTATATTATCATACTTCCATGCTTAAAGATTAAATTTACCTATATACTTGAAGCTTAATAAAATATTGTAACTGTGAAGACTGTTACAACAGTCCTAGCACATAACACTGTGGAACAAATTTTAACCTATTTTGCTTTTTACGATAACCACTAGTCATTCTTATAGAGTTCCTTACCCTAAATACGAATTCCTAAAACCAAATTGCTGGGTCACGTCCAGTTTTCGAAAAAACTGGGCTTTTGTAAAACCGGTCGAATTTTTCAGAAAACCAAGTGTTACGTGAAAACTAAAAATGATAGATAGTCAAAATTTGTCACAGAAAATAGAGGAGACTCGCCCGAACACGTAGCTATAAAAAAGTTGAATTTTGCGTATCATTAAATGTTTGTAAATAATGATCAGAGTTTAAAAAAGGGTAGATGCGCGTACTTTGTAATCTATCTATCTTTGACTATTTATCGTTTTTAGTTTTCACGTAACACATGGTTTTCTGAAAAATTCGACCGTTTTCACAAAAACCCAGTTTTTCGAAAACTGGACGTGACCCAGCAATTTGGTTTTCGGATTCGTATTTAGGGTAAGGAACTCTATAAGAATGACTTAGTGGTTATTGTAAAAAGCAAAATAGGTTAAAATTTGTTCCACAGTGTAATTATCGAATGGAATGCTGGTAGGGAATAGGTTAATGGAAAGTATATGTAAATGAAATTTTTCGATTGGTTTTTGCAGCAGTTACGATGCCACAGTTCAGTGGCGGTCCAGTGGAGTTTATGACCTGCGATGACATTGAATACAAAAGAGACGATGGTTGGTTTCTATCGTATACAAAGATAGCTGCAATTATAGTAGTGTTCATAATCGGCGTCGTTGCTGCGGGATTCCTTGGATGGTACATAAACTCCCTACCAAAGAAGAAAGTAAGTACAAGGTGAAATTTTTAGAAATGTTTCAAAAATTCATAATTAACACCTTATCTACGGATGACGCCATTTGGCGTCAAATTGTGATATGATTCCGTTCATAAGATGATATATAAAATTATTAACATTTTTATTCTTTATCTTAATGTTAATAATAATATTGAGTAATTACACAATTGGAATATTTATTAAGTCTTGTAAATATCATTGAATATTGATGAGCGTTCTTTTCTATTAATTTTACGAAAAATATCAATTGTCCATTGAGGATATTATCTATTCTATAAGAATTTGGTGTAAATGCACACTTTCTAATGATAAAATATTTAGCAGGTCAATAGAATTATTAAAAGAATTGTAAATGTATAGTCCTTGAATGGTATTTCTTTCCTAAACTATTCCACATTAAAATTAAGACAAATTGAATTATATACAATTTCACTGTATTAGTATTTAGGCTAAGGTAGCAGATATGTGGTACAAAAGAATCAACTCGAATATATTACATATTGATTTACTATACCGCTAATTTAACTAAAACTTACACGTTCAATTATAATTATTATTGCAGCCTTACGATACCATAGATTTGTTTAATGACGAAATCGAGAGCACGGATAGTATTCCAGAGACTCTGGCCTCACCTTTCATTCATCCCTTGAAGTATCGTCTTCAACTAATGCCAATGATTAACATAAACAGCGTGTCATGGCTGAAGGGTTCCGTAGTTATCGAGTTTCGAGTAAACGACAGGGCTGGTTTAACTGAACTGTCCTTAAACGCGAAGAACATCACGGTAACTGGCTATAAATTGTCGTCGCTGGAGCATGGAGACGATAAAACGCGATTGAAGAAGAAACGAAAGAGGAAAGGTAACGAAAAATATAACTATGAGTATATCGGAATGACACAAAATCCACGGCAATTATTATTTCGATTTATATAACGTTATACGGTTACCACGTTATAATGTTATAATATAATCAGTTAAATTATTAAATTCTAAATTAAATTAATTAAAACAGTTACCAATTATTTTATAAATACTATGTATTTACACGGTAAATATTTGTTTAAAATTAACTGCAGCGTAAACTGTAATATAATTTAATGTAATTATTGTATATGGGACTTGGCAGAAATATGTAAATAATTATGTTAAAAAATTAATTCAATTATTTCAATACCTTCTGTTTATTTTAGACATTGACATTATTTATTTGTGTACAACTTATGCTGTTCATAGTTACACGCACCATATATTCCGCTGAGAACGACGTTACTTTAACACTAATGGGAAACGAAACCGTTTTGTACGAAGAAAATGCAAAACAATCGTCAGAAAATTTATCGTTCGTTGAGGAACCCGCGATACCTTCACTAATAAGCGACAAAGTGAATACAAACGAAACTGATATTATAAAAATACAACCCGATGTATCAGATGTTTCTACGTCGGATATAAAGATTGCACAATACTCGACAGACGACAATAAAGATATACATAGAATTTCCTTGGAGACGCCAATTCAAGAAGGAATTTATTCGTTGAAAATTGATTATCAAGTCTTGATTGATGAGAGTGCGTTCTTTATCGCAAATTACAGTGAAGAGGAACAGTAAGCATTGTACTACTAATACTAACTTGTTAAAACTATACTCTTTGATCTTCTACTATTTTTTTTTTCTTATACTACTGTTTAATTACACTTATATAATAAATTGTCAGAAATATTCTGCTTTTTCTTCAACATTCTTGCTTCATATTTCATAAATTGATTTTTCAATTAATTTTCATTTCCTAATAATTTCATACATGCTAAATAATAAAAAATATATTTAGAATAATTTTCATTTTAAATTGTAAGAGAATTTTGTAAACTCGATTTGTTAACGGTTTCTTTATTTTAGATGGTTGATGGGAACCAAGTTAAGACGTTTCGGGGCCAAATATCTTTTGCCAGTTTTTGATGACAGCGATCAGAAGGTTGTTTTCTCTGTATCAGTGGTGCATCCGAAAGAACTGAACGTCCTCTCGAATATGCCTTTAAGAACTCTGAGAGATACGTAAGTCATTTACGACAGGTGTCTATATAAATAGATTATAAAAGTATACCAAATTAAAAATTTGTGTCCTTGAGATTCTAAAAATTGTACAAATGAAATTATTTTCACATTTACGTAAGTAATATATAAAAATACCCTCCTCTACATTTCCTTATTGAAATTACAGTTTAAATATTTTCAAAGATACAAAAATGTATTTTAGGAATACTTAAAACTTGAACTTAAGTGAAACTAGCAATCAAAAAGCAGCTTTCCCTTTGTTTCGAGAAAGATGAAATTCTCCCCGTGTCATTTTTGAAACACAAATATTAAAACAGTTCAAATAATCCATGATATCAAACATTCTTTTCCATTTCTAATTTAAAGACTTCTTGAAAGTTTCTTTAAAAAAATTATTTTGACATAGATTATGATATAAGTAATTGTATTAATTGCTATTGAACTTCAATGGTACGAAAAGTATTAATTTACACGATATAATACACATAACTATACGTTACAATTAATAATTTCAACATCTTTTTTTCAAAATCTACATTTTCACAGTATTATGCAATTATTTTTCATTAATCCAATTAATAAGTATTTACGTATAAGTTTAACCATTAGAATGTTTGTACTTGAAGCGATATTTCGACAATGGTGATGGACACGTTCGACGAATCGCTGCCATTGTCGCCTCACAATTTAGCATTTGTGATGGGTCACATTCAGAATATGGGGGCGACATTCATAACAGACACCAAAGTAGTTGCAACGTTCTGGAGCAATTCGAGGAGACACTCGCAAGGGATTTACCTCTTCGATAAACTCGAGCCGGCTGTCATTAACCTGATTGACGTGTTCCCGATACCTTATGCCCTGCCTAAGTTGGATCTAGTCTCTCTGCCACCGGGGATCGACGAGAGCATTGCCGGTCCGGGACTAATTGCAATGAAGTAAGACTTATTAATTCTTCTATTGGTTCCCCTACATCAATTACCAAAAATTTTGTATTTTATTTATTTTTATTTAATTTACTTTTTAATGTTGGTAACTGTTATTTTTTCTATTATTATAAAACTATTATTATTCCGAATTGTGGATCCATTTAAATGATACTAATGCGAATATGAGGTTCCGAGCCCAATCTTCATCGCGACAATATGATAAAAACTCAACCTAATTAAAAATTAAAAATTCGTATTTCATTTTACGTTAATTAAAAATCAGTAAAACGTTTTCGAATGTTTTTTCCTTCGTAACCATTTTTGTAAAGCTAAATAATAATTATCATCGTGATTCGGGATAGGTTTGTTCTAACTTCATTTTTCAATTATGTATTTAATTATTGTGACTTTCTATTCTATGCAATTAGTGAATTATGCGATACAAACTTTATAACTTAATAACATCAGAGATTTTAGTATTCATAGTAACACTGTTACGGTTTCCAATTTATCTATGTATTTGAAATATAATTAAATAACAATTATAGAATAGTAATAAAAAGCAATAATTAAAAGAAATATAATATTAAGTAAATTTGAACGCGACTAAATAAAAAGGTATTAAACGATCAACTCGGGTTGAACAAGTGAAGACGTGATCAGATTAAGAAAGAGCGGAAACAGGGTTAATATGTTTTGTTTCGAAAACACATATTCTACTTTGCAGGTCTCAAAGAAAGTACAAACTCAATTTTCCGGAAACTGTGACTTACGTTGTTTTGTTTTACAAGCGGTGTAGGTGTTAGAAGCTCTTAGCTTGGCAAAGATTTAATCGCTCCAAAAGCGATCGTTACTTTCCCAAAGCTGATTAGACCTTGGCCCGGCCACTTCCAGTAACTTCCTTCAGAGCCGGGTGCAGCGTTTCATCCGAAACCACCCCCAATTTCAATCAGGCTGCCTCCCTACAGAAAGGCACTATAAAAGAGCGTGATTTACGTTTACCGCTTCTGTCGCAAAATTGACCCCCCGAAACAATGACTTTTGGTAAGAGAAAAAATTTTTTAATTTTCGAGTCGTAAAAAAGCGTTTCCCAGTTTTGATAAGATTTTTGCAAAGAACTGAGTAGGTGACGAAAAGTTTATTATTAGTTCATCTTAACCCCTTACCTTACAATAACGTGTGAGACTCGTTGTGAAGATTGTAAATGGAATTTGACAAATATAAATGTTACCCAATCCCTTTGAATACAAATTAAATATTATTCTTTTGTTATCAATTATCATATTTTACGGCAAACATAGATATAGAATATGCATAGAATTTGTCTTCTTTTTCAATAAATTATTACTGATAAAGTTGTTGTATCTGTCACAATTGAAAAATAAATCATAGGGCAAGGGGTTGATATAGTACTGTCCGTCTTAAAGCTTTACTAGAGATTTTTTCCATAGATATACTACAAAAGCCAGCAGTTTTTATGTGTTTTTGCAGTGGGGTGACAAATACTTTGTATCATAGTAAATTTTTAAGTATTCCTTCAGAAATTTTTACATAGTACTTATAACATATTAGATATTACATATTATTTCAGTGTCATAAAAGAAATTTTTTTTTCTATTTCATTGTAACTGATCTGAAACGAGCGCTATGTCGCCTCTTGACATTCAAAGGGTCAAAGATTATAGCATTCAATTATAAAACATAAACGACTTTCAAGTCATAAGTTGTGTACAAAATTCGTTCTGAAAAAATCGCATTTTGAAAGATCTTGGCAGGAAATAATGAAATGAATGTTTATAATAATAATAAAATTATTATTATTTTTGTAGTCGTAAATATTATAACACATATTTCAGAAACGTAGTCACACGATCTACTGGTTGTCCATGTGGCCTGAATGGAAAATAACACGAATTTAGCGCGGCAATCAACGTGTTAAGAACGGACAACATTGTACAGACGAAACTGTAATATAAAAGGGGAAGGGCTGATAAAGAGATGTCATGAACAAATTATGTTTTTATTACAACTTGCAATTTCTAACTCCATTGTAGTGACAGCATTTAACATTTTTGGTACTTCATTAATTTTTAAGGAAGTCGATATTCTTCACCTTCGAAACATCGCCAGTGGTCAGTAAAGACACTGCTCTAAGATCTCTGGTGAATTTGTACGGGCAACAATTGCTCGACGAATTTATGAATGTTAATCGAACGGATTCGTGGCTGTTCGAGGGTTCGTTGCTTTATTTTCAACACGCAGTTACTCCAAAGGCAAGTGATTAAATTCATTCTTGACTTATTTGTATCTGTTGAATTCACAATATTGAGCATTCTATTTAATAAAGTAGCATTTGTTTTTGAAATTTTGAATAATGTATTCTCTGGTTTCATCTATTGTTATTCATCTATTACTCCACGCAATTACTTTAAATTAATAAAGAATAAATTATATAGTTACTATGTACAATACAAATTAATTATACTTTATTTTCCAAAATATTGCTGTTTAATGTGTGTATCAGATGATTACTATTCAAATTGTACAAGTGAATGAGACAAATAAGAACGTAGTAAACCGATTTGATAAAATTTCATTTTCAGATAGATTTGTCATTGAATTTGAGCAATTCGTTCGTCACCGATGTGCAGATGCAAGTCATGGATATTGATAGTTACAGCATCTCAAGGCCACTACATGAAAACATCAATTATCGACTGTCGCATTCACTTAGCGACGAATATGCAAAAAGTAAATCTACAATTTGATATACAATTTATCTTTAGATTCAAGTAGACCTGGATGAAAGTTTTCTCTAAGAATAATTATAAAATAAGCGTTGAAAATAATAATGTTCAATGAATGAAGCTTAAAATCAATTTTATAATAAATTTCTATTCTAGTAATTTCATTTTTTTATTTTTATAATGAATTTTAACATTTTTCCTTGGAATTATATGTTAAATATTTCTTATATCATAAATGAAGACGAGGGTTGAAACAATTAAATTAAGAGTTCTATGTATCATTATACTAATCTGCGAAACAAATAATTTTTTTTTTAAATTATTCTGAAATTTTCATCCATTTAAATAGCCTCTAAATGATTATTGAGATAAATTTTTAAGAAAACTTTAGGTCTGCTTTGAAGTTTTAGTAATGGACGACTGCAGGCCTTGATACTCAATAAATTATAATAACTGGTTAAAAGTTTACTGAAGAGAAAGTCTTTTGCATTTTGATTACTTCTTATAGGTGCATGTCTGATACGCATGTTGCATGGTGCAATAGGTGACACAGCCTTTAGGAATGGCTACAAGAAATTGGTGAATAGGTGGTGGGTACATGATATGCAAAAAATTTTATGAACGTTATTTTAATTCGATTTATGCAAATTGTAATTTCACTTTATAAATTTTATCACGATTAATCAGCCTTTAAGACTAGTTTATTAGAAATGAAGGTTTTAGAAGAACGCTTCTTAGGGAAAACTTGAATTTTACATTATCGATTTGCTTTTGCACGTAGAATTACTTTCTTATATACGATACTAATACAAGGCACCCTACGTTTCTGTGAAATATAATTTACAATTTTACAAAACGACGAAATATATAATTTTATTCGTTTAGGAAATATAATACTACATATGTCGCCGATTTTATAACTGTCATGGCGGAAGAATCAGAACTTCCGTTACCGTATGGTGTTACCTTAGAAGATTCGATGTATTCTTGGACTTCTCAAGGCGGGTATCCTCTCGTTACTGTCATTAGAAATTATGAGGATGACTCTGTTACTATATATCAGGTAAATAATGTAATGAAGAAACACATCAGTCAAATAATAAAAAATTTGTTCTAAACGAATAGTAAAACAAATAATCATTCCACTTATTGGATACATTAAGATATCAAATTATATTATAATAGATAAACGTATTTATACAAATATTTATATGGTAATAAATGCAGAAAAAATATTGCATATTTCTTTATATTTTAAAGATAAACGTTGGATATATATTGTTCACAAAAATTCCGACAAAGATACTTCAAATTAAGAGAAAAATATTTTTATTAACATTAATAATTGTATTGAAATTATTCAAAGTAACCTGAACACAGTAAATAATATTCAAAACATAATATTAATGGTCCATCTTTCAGCAATGCGTCATGGAGATTTTATACAAAGGATAATAATTATAATATAAATATTATAATATGAATATTATAGTTATTGGACTGCATCGTTAAATATTTATATCTTACTAGTAATCGATTACTTTTGCTACAATTTTACAATTCTATAATTGTTGTGCAAGATAAGCACTATACCTTAATACGTTCCAATTTATAAAGTAAAAGTGTAAAGTATTAGAATATATCTAATCCTTTATTTCAGGAACAATATACCTTAGACAGGCCATTAGAAAATGTTTCTAAACTTTGGCACATTCCACTCAGGTACATTATAGAAAATGGCAACTGGTCAGACCCTATAGACATATTCTTCCCACAAGAGCCAAAATTGATTTTAAACAATGTTACCTCCAATGACTCCTGGATTCTTTTTAACATAAATAAAACTGGTATGTCACAACCTTAGAAATGATTTCATTAACAACAATCTGTTATTTTCAATTCTTATGGCACGATTTGTCAATCATAAAAGAAAATAGGAACGTTCATAATAAAATAGTAAAACAATAAATTTTTCTGTTTATTTGAATTCTATGATATTTAAAACGTAGCTCCTTTAACGCATAGGATGCAACACAAATTTTGGTTAGAAAATAAAAATGTTGTATTACAGTTATGTGGAATTCTCTTATACTATTATAAATATTATAAAACTTGAATATTATTTTTGTCATTGTAAAACCTGTAATGGAAGAAATGAATTTTTATTTTCTTTTTGTTTTACCAATTGGGAAATATGAACTTTTTTAATTACTCATATAATTATTCTGGAAATTAATTATAATTCTTCAGGTTACTATCGAGTCAATTATGACGAAAAAAATTGGATACTACTCAAAACATCATTGCAAGTAAATCACGAGGTATTCCCGCCAGAAACGAGAGCATCACTCATAGACGATGTTTTTAGCCTCGCTGCGGTGGGCACGATGAAATATGAGACTGTCTTTGACTTTATTAAATATATGCAAATCAAGGAGAGGCATTATCTGCCTTGGACGGTGTTGATGCGACACGCCTTCAAATTAAATAGACTTCTCTACGAAACTTCAATTTTCACTAATTTTCAGGTGCGACTTTTAATATACAAAATTCGAATTTATAAAATGCATATAAAATTGGAGTGACTTTCGTAGAAGATAAAGAAAGATATAAAATTAGAATATCGTATTAACGTTTTAATAAACTACAGAAAATAGTATATTTTGTAATAAATTTAAGTAAATTATATTTTACAATAGATTGGAATATTTAGTGAGTTGAGAATTTTTAATTTTTAATTTTCTATAAAAGTAAAAAAAATTACGTAAATATTTGTAATTATATTATATCTAAACTGCTTTATCTTATGGAACTATTTTTAGCATCAACATTATTTTACGTCGATAAAATAGTAAATGAAATAGAAGAGATAAAATATTATGATGACAATTGTATGGGTCATTATTCTTGCTGAAAGGATCCTTGGATGACATTTCATTATGTCATTCAAAACTCATACTGTTAGTGATGCTTCTACGGCTAATGTCGATGGAAAACTTGTGCAATTCTTTATTTTACTTATTTATGAAATCTCACTTTCAGGAATTTATGGTGGATTTTATATCTCCGTTATACACTGAGGTGGGATCAAAAATTGAAGAAGGTTCACATCTCACGAAAATCGCTATGAAAATGGCGTGTATGTTTGAGCATACAGAATGCTTGGAGTGGACCAGGAATATATTCGAAAATGCAAAGAATGAAACTGAAATTCAGGAAACGTATGTTTATCAATAAATCTTGTTGCGTTCAATGTTACTTTTATTTTTTTTTTAATGTGACATTCATCAGATTATTCAAGTACTTCTGTTTAATAGTAATAAAAATGTTTATCATTAATGTCATTATTAGTTAGCATGACAAATTTTCGAAGAAAACCAAATATTTAATACACTGTACAAGCAAATAATTTTTGTTCTAGTTTTTGTGCAACTAAATTTATTATTTAAAACTACAAAATAAGGAAAAAGATTTTCTCATCATTTCTAATTGTCGAGATATTCAAGAGAAATATCAAATCTTAACTTCAAAGATTATTTTCAATTCTGCACTAACGATTATCTATAAAACAATGGATCTCCAATATATTATTAGAAACTATCTTAAGTGTAAGTTTTATCAGAATTTAAGTGTTCGAATTCAGTATATTCTTCATTCAGGGATGTAAATTCTTTGGTGTTCAACAAAAGAGAATGTTAAGAAATTGATTCATGATGATTATCGTAATTAATTAAACAAATTGTTTTTCAAGATATTACAATTTATTCGTCTCTAATAAAACTTATAAAACCTTTTGCATTTATTCAATATTAAGTGATCACATTGCTTCTTAATGATTCAGTTTCCCTTTCGAATAAAACAGTCGTAAATTCGTTAATTTTCTCTTCTTATCAATCTCATCGGAGCTGTGCAAGAGTTTCAGAAGAGTGAATACTTTCAGTGTTCCCTCGTACATCCGGAGAACATTTTACTGTCTCGTTGCACGTTATAGTGCAAGACAGGAATGGAATTACTTCACACAGAGAGTAGCGATGCTCGAAGATGAGGAAGAGAGAAAACGTGTACTGAAGTCATTCGCTTGCTTCCAAACGCCTTGGATTTTACAAGCGTAAGTGACATTGTTTGTATCATATAATTAGCATAAACGTGTATACATCAAATGAATATACGGTAGTGAATAAAAGAAAATTTATATGATATATAATTCTTCAGAGAGAAAATATAACCATTCATCTTTGTAAGGTAATTCCGGGTGAGATGACACGATACCTCATTTACCCTGTCAAATATTTATTGCGGTTACTTGTAATAGGGGTAGCGTTAAAAAAAAATGTAAACATATATTTAGTATCTTATATAAACGATATTTATTTAATATAAGTAATGAAATTATAACATTTTTACAATACAATGACCGAGCAACGACTGAACAAAACATAAACTGTTTCAAATAAAGTGGATACCATATCGATTGTGTTGTCATCTACATATATGATATATTGTAGGTATATTTTACTCGCGGTGGAAATTTCAAATAGGATTTAGCAAACATAAATATTATTCAATTTGTTTGAATGCAAATTACATATTATTCCTCTGTCATCAGTTACTATACCTTAGAGCACACGTTGATGTACAATAAGATTGGTATTTTCTCTTATTTTCGATAAATTATTAATAATAAAATAGTTAGATCAATCACAGTTCAGAAATAAGTCAAGTCAATAATTTAAAATGTTCGTAGTTCTATGAGAACCATTCGAAACGAAATGGTTAATTATTCTTCTTATATGTATGTACTTTCATAAATATATTTTCTTTTTGTTAGGTACTAACCTGTTAACTGTAGAACCTAATAAAAAATAAATGAAGTGTGTATTTACTTATCAAATGCAGGACATATGCAGCTAGGTATATTTTAATGAAAAACCAAAGCAAAACAAAGAAGAATTACATATTCACCTGAAAAAATAAAGAGTTTATCGTTGAAAGAATTAGAATGATTTCAAGCTTTAAGATGACGTGTATACTTGTCAAACGCAGTTAACTGGTTAAGGATATTTATGATGTAACAGTTTTTTTAAAAAGTGGGCCATCTCTCCTGGACATACCCTATTATATGTTGTAATATATGATTATGAATGCTATTAATGGTTTCTTTTCTTTCAATATTAGTATTCTCAACGAAATTCTTCACGAAGAAACATTCAAACCAGATGAAATCTTAGTAATTTTGAAATCGTTCCCTCAAAATCCTGCTGCAGCACAAGCTGCGTCTCGGTTTGTACGAGCTAATTGGCAAGAAATTGAGCAAAAGTAAGTAATTCGTTGTTATATTACGAATATTTATCCCTTTCATATAATTAAGGCTCAAATTGTGTCAAAGTAAATTTGGTGTTTATATTTATTATTATTCTTAGTTATTTACATCAATGTATTACAAAAATATTCTAATGCCTGCACAGTTATTGTTCAATCGGCTGACAGAAAGTGAAAATAAAATTTTAATGTATAATACAATTTGTCTACGTTTCAAGGTCACGAATATCTTGTAAAGCGTTGAAAATGCAAACAGAATATTTCATAAAATTTATCTTGATAGCATATAACTCCTTAAACGTTTGTTTTGCAGCTTCAGTATTTCAAAAAAATATTTGAACAAAAATTCTGTTTTGGACATTTTTAACTTACCCTTTTCAATGTTACTTGAATAACAATATTTATAACATTAAAACATTAAATGTCGAACGTTTTCATACAGCAAAATACACGAAATGAAAAAATATAATATTAAATCATTTGATTGAATTGCATTATTATTATTGCACATTCACCGCATTAGGTAGCACTGTTTATAATATAGAAATATTTTCAAATAATCCTCGTTTAATTGAGTGAACTGTAGTAATTCGATTTGGTTGGTGGTGACCCCCATGGCATTCATGTTAAGAAACAAGAAACAATTGTGAAAATATCTTCTTGAATTTTTCTTCATTTTGATTTTATTTCGCATTCTAAATTAGAAAAAAGGTTTTCTTATAATCTGTAATTTAAAGAAGATATTATCAAATGTTCAACATATTATTAAAATTATTAAACATGTTCCTGTATGTCATCGATATTTTATGAAATATTTTCGTTACTTTGAAGTATAGACATACTGTATGTTACAAACACACGTGCTGTACGACCATTAGCAATACAACAATCGAACTACAAGTGGAGAACTGACAACCTAATTGTGGAATTTGAGAGGTTGTTGTTTCGACCGAATCGATTTCATACAATTTAATCATGGAGACAGATGTCTTGGCTTGCGGCCTAATTCGGGTGGTCACGGATACGAATAGCTCACCCAGAACGTAATGTGTTCCTGACTATCGTTGAGATGTGGAACATGGGAAGAGTTTATCGTGTTGAATTCTGGGAGACATACAGTAAAGACAACATGCGACGTTTTGGCAGAATTTATTTACATTATAAACTGAACATATTACTTTGAATGAAAAGAAAGCGAATAATTGCCGAAACTATGCTGTTGTCTCAGTTCTTAAGTTTAATTGTAAATATTGTCAAACTGTTCGTAAAATATTTCTCAAACTTAATTTAAAAAATAAGGACTTCTTGTTGGGTTTCTAATAAATAATAATAATTTTAATAAATATACAAACCTCAAGACACCGTAAACATGTAAAATATAAACATAACAAAATCGTTATCCGAACAATAAAGAAAATACAATACCTTAAATATGTCGGTATATATCGATTCGTATACACTCTTCTAACATTTGTTAGTTAATATACCTATTATAAAAGGATACTACATTTCTTCAACATTTTTATTTACTTAAGAAATTCTAAAAATATCATGAATTAAAAGAGAAATAATTGCATGATTTCATTAATTTAGATTCTCTGGGTCCTATTCAATGCTGAAAGCTTTCGTGTTGTCGATGAGTAACGGCTTAACAACTGAACAAGACTTGGAGGACGTAAGAAATTATTGAAATTAAGTATGCATACAGTTGCTTACAAAAGTAATATAAAAGCTATAATAAAAGCACTCATTTATTAATTAAAGCTTTATGTTACATTGAAATTAATATTAGTAGAAAATATTAAATTAAATATACAATAATATTTAAATTTTTGTAGCATCTAACTTTTATTACAATAGTAAAATAATATTTTCTAACGATTTCTATCAAAGAGTAGATACGTATAAATGGCGAAACTTCATTAATCTAAAAATCGAAAGCGATAACATATTTTTTTACATCGTTGTTTGACAGATATAAAAAATATAGTATTATTAATCACTATATATTATGATAGTCCTTACTTTTAGATGATCTTTGGATGGTCCATATAAGAAAAAGTATTTACCAAACAGTTTTGTAATCAACTGTCCGAGTTTTCACTATTTCCAGTTTCCTAATGACTAAATAATAATTGTTTTATTACAGCTTCAAGCATTCAGAGAAAATAATTATGAAAGTATGAAAGGAACTAGATACGCAGCAGCACTCGTCGAAGCAAATGGGAATTTTATAATATCGTGGTTGCAAAATTCATTACCGCAAATTGAGAAGCTACTGAAACCAGAAGATTCGAATAAAACATCGATTTCATGAGTAGAAAGATATTAACATTTAGAATTTTAATTTCATCAAGTTATACACGTTTTCTTTTTAAAAGAAGGAAACTTTAAGGATGTAATATTGTTTTATTAGTTATCATGGTAAATTTAGTCATTTATATTTTTCTTTGCCCGATAATAAATATTTACCAAATATTTTTGATAAGAAATAGATAAATTAAGTTAAACATTTCAGAATATTGTTAATTAAATGACAGAAAGATATTTTCAATTAATGGTAAACAATTCGCTTATTTCTGAACGCTTGATATTACTTAATTGAATAATTCATAACAGAATAATTATGAATAATATTTAAACTACTGAAAGGATTAAAGTATGCTGAAAAATGTTTATTTATTATTTCTTAATACCGTAACTATGCTGTACTTAACGGTAAACATTTCAGTACATAAAAATATATACTGTGCTCTTTGTTGAATACTCGAAAATATTTTTGTAACAAATATATTCTTTAAAATTATATTGAAGTTTCTGTACTTAATTTACGTTTCCTTTACCTTGTGCACCATATCCCTTAATATCCATTAATTATTAATTATATACCTATATTTATATTGTATTGATTACGAAATTTCTTTAACTTCAAATCTAAACTTTGAATCTTATCAAATATGAACTACCATGTACATTACATCTTAATTATGATTGTTTATAATTAAGAGTTATTTATAGAATAATATCTGCCTTAACTCTTCTTTAAAAAGGAAAGAGCCGAATATATCTGAAATTATATTTTTTATATTATCTACTGTAATTACTTCCATAATTTATTGTTTAACATGATTAAAAAGACAAACGAGTGTTTAACATGATTAATATGTAATCCTTGTAAAATGTGTAACAATATATTTTTCTCCGGTTTCTGTATATATTATAATTATAGTATTCAAGTGAAACTATTTATTTTTTAAATCATTTCGGTTGTTCTACTGTTAATAAATTAAAATTGAAAGCAGAACTAAGAGTAAAATTTAAGATGAAAAATAGATCCTAAATTTAGTCCTATTGCAATATGTCCTGAAAAGGATAAAACTTCACTAATTACCATTTTATATAGATGAAGTGACAAGAAAAAAAGGTTTCTACGACAACAAGTTTTATTCTTCAAATGCTTTCGTCAAGCATGATTACAAAACCAAGCAACAAGAATCTCGTTCTTACATCGTGTAGTCTTAGAACGACGGTCATCGATAATTCATAGGTACATATTTAACAAACGCTATACATAGTATTCGTATCTAACGATGGTAATCAATACTTCGATAATTTTCAACGTTTACTTTTACTTTTCTCTGCTCGTTAGTTTTTCCTGAATTTTTATAGCGCTAGTACTATTTAGTACACTTGTTTTACTATAATTAATCATTAATTATGAAATTCATACCGTCATCCTTACTTACTCTTAGCCTACGTTACTAAAACGTTCTCCGTTATCAAGAATTTGTTCAACTACTTGTTTTCATTAATATTACGAGACAATTGCGCCCGTTTCCATTTCTTTTCACGTCGGAAGTTTCGTTTATCTCGTATTATATTCTGTTTCGAGGAACGAGTCGAACTTTATATCTTGTTTCCGTTACGGACAGATGATCGATTTATTATGATTAGATGGATCAAATGTATCTTCGCAGATAAAACATTATTGTTAAAATGATTAAACTTTTGAATTATTCGAGATGCGAATTATGCAATTAGTACTTAAATTATGTAAGAATTATTAAATTCTTCAATTTTATAAAAACACAAAACTTATGTCCATGAAGTCTTCCTTCGTATGTTCATTAACGATTAGATTTTTACCCTTTTGGAAAGAGTGAACCAGTACAATTCCTTATTTCATTCTGTCTCATACATTTATAAATATATATTATAAAATTATAAAATCTGCAGTCTACGAGGAATATATGAAAATGAAAAATGTATGTGTTGATATATGTTCCAATTTCAATCTTTTAACTTACTTCTGTAGCTTTTCCATTTATATGGAAAGTATTCATAGTTAAATCTACAAACAAGAATGAATTTATAAGTACTTAATGCAGATTTTATTTTTCTTATTCGAATGTTTTGAAAATCAACAAATTTTTTATAAGTTTACTCTATGCAGATAAATTCATGGACATATTTGAATCAAATATCAAATTTATAGCAATTGAATTCAGAATAAAATTAAAATTTAAAAACTAACAATACTGATACGACGTCAACAAAAGTTGAAGTTCATACAGCTGATTTTAAATTTAAATTACATTGACAAAATACGTATAAAGAATCCAAAGTCAAATTTAGTTCGTTAGATTGAAATACAAACTGTAGTTTTAACCCTTTAAATCTAGATTCAAATTAGAATAGTTGAGTTCAATTTGAAAATGAAATTCCTAGCTATATATTAATATTTAATGATAAAATGTAAATTCAAATGTTATTTTTAAGTTCTTAAATTCAATTGAAATTTCAACAGTAGCATTCGAAATGAATTTGAAATTTAAAGTTGAACTCCACGAGCCACATTCTAATTTTAAAATGAATGTGCTTAGTAATATTTCTCTGTCATGGAGGGTAGCTCCAACCGAAGGCCACTATAACCGACGATGTTAGCGTATTATCATTAGCCTGCAAATGTTTATGCAGAATTACACATTTACAGAGTAATTTACAAAAGCTGCGATCCAACAAAGATCTTACTCCTTCGTTAAATACTTCATTAACGCAAGTTAATAGCAACGTAAACGTCTGAATAAACTTTTCCCATCCATTTTATTTTATATTATCAAACTCTGCATTTAATGCATAAACATTTTCAGTATTACAATTTTATTCTACATTATACAGGATAAATCATACGACCCGTTAAAAGTCAATATTAAATTAACCGATATGAATTTTTATTATAAAATCTCCTTGTAACGTAATCAACAAATCATTTAGGTGATAAAAACGTTAGCAAATAAAATTTCAAATGTGTTACGTTTCAAAGGTACATTAATATTAATTTTAATATTTAAGATACCTATCTTAATTATTGAATTTCTAACATTGTAATTGTTTCAATAATTTCAGGTGATCGAAATATTGTTTAGTAACAGATTAAATGAAGTATCCTGCATGGTTCGACTAGACTCGTTAATCGCTACTCGTGCGAATAAATTCCATGACAATCGTTCTCCTTGAGACAACAAAATGATATAAAAGAAACAGTCGCGGTTTCCGTTTAAAATCACGATCACGCGAAGACAAAATAGCTGACAACACAGTACAAAAACTTGAGTACATTATATTCACAATATTTTATTCCATGTTACTTAAATATTGACGTAAAACTATTACTAAATATCCAAATCATTCAAAGCTTCGGTTCACAACAGTCAGTACACTTAAATATGACATTTACACGTTACGTTTTACGTTAGTAGGTGATTCCATGAGTAATGTTTCGTTTTTAAACGAATCGCTCGATTCAAATGAATGACAATCTTTCAGCCAAGTTATGAAGTTATTATAATAAAAAAAATATCTCCAGTATCATTACGTTGAAAATGAAACATAAGCAACAACATTATTAACGGAACAAGCTGAACATTGAAATAACATGGAACTCACGTTAATTATGCAATTCAATGGAACGCAAATTAGTTTGATTTTTTCGTTGTCATTGATAAATAAAAGTTAGAAGTATGTTCTCGCTACCGACCATCGTGTTCTGAACGATATTCTGAGATCCCTCAGATTTTTCGAAATAGTAAAAAAAGTCCAATTTATAGCCTCTGACTTACGTTACGTTTTTGTCTATGTACAAGTTATTTACACCTTATGATCAATTAGTCTGTTCTATTCCCCTAGTACCTAACTAGATACCGCTTGTCCTTCTCGTTCGAATATCATCAGTTTTTCCTCATCGAGAAAAGCACTTTTTATTTCGATCGCCTTTTTACCTAACAATAATTAAACGTCTGCGATTTATTAACAACTGTTAAAATATCAAAGTAACAATAGCTGACTATCGGTGAAATAATCTACTATTGTCAAAGTGAAACTTTAAGGTTCGTCATTGGGGGATCGAGGCTAACGACTCGACACACAGTGGCTAATTTCAGTGATTGCTCTAGGCGAGGTTCGAATATCTTTCGCATTATTAAATGTGAATTAAATGTAAATTAAACAGAAGTTAAACATGAATACGAATTTATAGTAAATATGAATTAAATATAAATTGAAAAGAAGGTAAATATAAGTACGAATTTACCTTATATACGAATCGACGGGAAGTAAATTAAAATTTGTTCATACAATGAATATCAAATTACTTGTTGATCATCGGTCACTCGTAAATTGATTCTTTTGTTGCCAGTATTTTCGTGAGAATATATAATAATAGTTTATTGTAGCAGATGATTCTTGGACTTCCGATGACCAGCTATATGAGTCCTTGTTTCAATCAATATGTTTAATATTGAAATGTACAGTGCAACAAAATATTTATATAAGTATCATATAATATAAATGTTATGTGAGACTTCTAAAACAGTTTTTTTATGTGCTATTAATGGCGATTCATTTACCCTACGTCTTAAAATAACTAATAATGAAGTAATTATCCAAGTATGTGATAAATAATATACATAAATATATTATGAATAGGTGTACATAATACAACATGATATAATAATAGGTATAATATGATATAAAGGGTCTGAACTCCCATAAATAATAAAAAAAAGAACATCGGAAATACGAATTAACCTTTCCAATCAATCGTATTGGCCACTGCGCGACAGCTGTTTTAACACACTAACGAGTAATTACCACGTTAACACGTAAATTATGTAGTAACCGACCCTATCATAGAAAATTGTGTGCGTTCTTCCCTATTGTTCTAGTGCAAAGTAAACTCCTTATCTGTTCGTTCCTCTAAGGGAGAATTCTGGCGTCTTGGTTACCAAGATCGACGATGCAGACCGCTTCGACCGTGTTTCGGCGTTTTCTGGACGATTTATCGATCAGGTAGAAAATACCACGTGTCCCGAGACCGATCCCCGATCGCTCATTAATTCACTCAACGCTCGTTATTCATTCGCCCTGGTCAATATTCTATTACACTTCTATCGTTCTCCGATTAATCTGGAACTGGAAGATTACAATGACGTCGAATTCGATGTTACAAGCATTAATTGATAAAAAGGATCCCCTAACGCAGTGGTTCTTAACCTTTCCTAAGTCAACGAGCACTTTTGATTATAAGATGAATTTGAGGACACTGAAAGCAACCGTAACACAGATTCATTAAAAATAATCATTCACATACGTTTCAATCAAAATTATATACATAACTGTTCAATATATAGATCTAGAAAGAATATAATAATTTCAAGCATATTATAAACTATAAGAGCATATTTTTGCAAAACAATAAATGTTATAAGAGTATATAAAAACTACCAAAAACTTCCAATATATAACTAAATATTTTATTGTAAAAAATTTGTACATTTTGTAAATAAAATATTAGAGTAACCAAAAAGAAGTCTATTATTTTTAGTCTCAACAGAAAGTTTTATTTCATACAAATTTTTAAATATTACCCCAAGAAGTAGATTCGAAAAATGGATCACTTGATGGGAAACTGCCCTGAAAGAGCAATGAAACTGTATTCTAGATTAATAATTATAAATTTACACGAAATAATCAAGCTTTCTTTTGAGACTAAATATAATGAACTTCCTTCCGATTTCTCTAATAAAAGCGAATTTTTTCTGTGTCGTTGAAATGGTTAAGAACCGTTGCCTTAACGTGTCATACGAGAGGCGCAACCTGACACAACCGACCAGTGTCGATTTTTTCCAATAAAAACCGTTCCGACAGCACGAACCACTGGTGATCATCATACCTGAACAAGGTACAGTGAGTAGCGTGTTTTATCGATAAGAATTCGGTATAATAAAAGCCTTGAAGGTAACCCACAGGTGTTTATCGTGAGAACACGAGGATTTAATATTTTTATTTCATCATCGCATGAGATTCGATAAGATTCCGAGACATTTATCAATTAACCCTCGCACATGATTGGTTCAGTCGCTGGCTGACGAATAATCGAGGCGTTTACCGACACAGCGATACAAAACAAAACACATTTCTCACGCTAACAACACTCTCTAATGGCAGTATTTACGTAATACCGATACAATTCATTCCTACAAATGTATTTACAGATCCAACGGTGATGTAAGGCATCTTACTTCGGATGCGTTCGAGCTATGTATAATAAATTTCCCAGCTATGAACATGCCTAAGGTAATTACCCGTCGAAGAATTCGAGATTCCCGGTGAAATCGAACCAAGACTCAGCTTTCACGTGGAAAAAAGTATGACGTTCGCGAATTTTTATAAATCAATAATCGGAGTCGGGCATTATTCTTTTGCTTCTTTCTTTTTGTCTTTTGCTTTTATGTTAACCCCTTGCAATATAATATTTTTTCTCACCTGTGATCGACACGACTACTTTGTCATTAATAATTTATTGGAAAAAGAGAAAAATTCTAGATATACTCTATGCCTATGTTTTCTTTTAACGCGTTGTCTATCACGGTGGTCACCGATGACCGGCATCTCCAAATTACTTGAAAACAATTGATATCGAATGAAAATATTTAGTGACATAACTAACGAGATAATAGAGTAACTTAATTACTGCCATACCAAACTGTTAATAATTATTTCTAATACCGTTTACCTTTGTTATGAAGGAATAAATATTATTACCTGAAACAGTCGAGATTTCCGTGGCAGGCAACGCGTTAAGTATAATAATTTATTGCAGAAGGATAATTGCTTTGAATTCGAATGAACCGAGTAACATTTGTGTTTGTTGCATCGTGTTGAAAATCTTTACCACAAGTCTGGCACATTGTTATAACGCAAGAGGTTAATTTCGTTTGTTTCGCGAGAGAATCGCAGATTCTCCGACGTGTTCGGTATCAGTCCGCTTGTACGAGGCGCAACTAACGATTATTCACTGCGATAGTTAGGATGTTTATACACGGCGCGTTTTGTTCGGACAAAGTAACGGGTTATGGAAACTTAACTGAGGGAAGAAAACGATGACAACCCACAGTAAACATTAACCACGTACTACGGCATTGAACAACGACCGGTTCATCGGTTGTTCAATCAGCTACATCTATCAGCTTTAGAATTCGTATGCTTTACTTGTTCTTATCATACTATCGGTTATTATTATTGTTATGTCTCGCGTGGCATGTTTTCGATTCATTCGTTACAAAATACAGTATTCTCACCGAGACTAGTGGTGTACGTAACGAAACTTCACTCGATAACGAGCTGCTTATAACCAGAGTAGTAGACGTGAGTGATGAGATTTCTGCAAATGACTCGTGTTCGTTTCTATGGATTTTATTTGTTATTTCAGGATGCCTGCTGACAGATGATTCTTGAATAATTAATAGTAAAAATAGCGAGCAGTCAAATTGACTTCTCGAAATTCCTGTATTGAAATTTCGAGAATGCATGAATTGAGACTTCAATTGATTTCTAATTCAGTTTATGTATTGTCAAATAATTCTTTGATAATTTCTCAGAAAAATATCTGTTATCTTTTTAATAATTGCAAAAAGAAGAAATTAGGATAGGGTCATTTTGACCCGTTTGATGGTTTTAGTATTAAGAAAAGGACTATGGAAGATTGGATCGTCAATGGATATTCTATTATCCTTGACAGAAAGTGTTCGAGTTAAATTGTGACATTGATCGTTGAAGGACTTATTTGTAAACGGGTTAAAAGCATCAAAGAAATAGAATAGAGAAGTTGGTGGTTCTTAGAAAAATATTACTTAATATTAATTTAATGAATATACTTTTTGTTCGACAAGTGAATTATTGTTACAACAGATGTCTGGTTTGTTTGAACAAATACTTTCTGTCAAGGGTAATAGAATAATTTATAAAATAGTTTCCACCGTGGTGAGACTGATATTTACCAATTAATAAAGGATAATCAAAGTTTTAAAGCAGAGTAAATCACCTGTGGTCATTCTGTAACAAAGAATGATAGTTCTTATAAATTATGAGTCGTCGATTGTTACTTTTTAATCAAAATCATAAGTATAATACTTTGAGAATGAGCGTTATATACACAAGATGTAAAATTTTAAGAGAAATTTTAAAAGTCAAATTTCTGTTTAGTGGTATTGTATGAACTTTAATGATTTGATTAATTGCGTACTCAGCTTCTAATAAAAAGATACTAAAATATAATATTATCCCAAAAACTATTGGTTTAGAGGATACTTTAATTTCAATATTCTACTTTATAATTAACTCTTTACTCAATTAAATGCTTAAAATCAATGGTAATATACTTATTTCATGTTTCTTATCCATTCATGTTTCAAATTTTGTAAACCTATGAATTTCATTAATGAAATATATTATCTTCATCGCACTGTTCAGTTAAACTTTAAATTAATATTTCATAAAAATAGAATACAATTCGACATTCAATTAAGCAGAAACATATATATTAATATATATATTAATTAATTTACATATTTCTATAATAAAAAAGTATGATAGGAAACAAATTGATTTTCCTTTCAGACTAAATTGGTTTCGAACGGCGCACAAGGGTTATTAGAAGCACTTACAAAATTATTCATAATAGCATTTAGGTAGTATGATCCACAGGTGCATCGTTAAGTGCTTAAACGGAAAATTAGACAAGCATTTTTAAATAAATCGTTATAAATAATTCTTTTTTCAATATTACATCAATTGATAAATCAATTTGAATGATAGGGGATGATGTCAATGACGATTAGATGATCAATGTATGAAATGAAAGTAACCAATTAAAAATAGAAAGAAGTTCGTAGCACGTTATAAATTCATATTGTCCATTTCATCAATAAATATTGGCAAAGAATATTAAAAGAAATTAAATAGATTCATATTACGACCAAGACGAGATAATTTCGAATTAATAAATAACTTCGTGAAAAAATAAGAAATTTCGAGTGACATTTCGTTACGTTTATATGTGATTAATCCGTGATCTCACTTTCTTATAGATACATTCGTACAAACAGGTATGTACGTTTCTAAATGTTTAAAGCTAATCGATTATACATTAAGTTACACACTAACTTCGTGTCGTACAACGAGCTACCTACAATCGTGATGCCTAAGAATAATTTCCTCTTAACGTGTTGGGTAAACGTTATATATAAAACACGCGACCGTACGACAGTATTATTCGTCAAAGTTTATAACCCTTGGTCGACCGATCGATCGATTTTATGATAGTTAACACTTTTCCCCCTTTACTTCGAATCTGTGACGTGAGTCAAAGGTTTAACTAAATTAATTATTACCTTTAATTAGCTTGTTGCTTTAAACCCGATTAAGTAGTGGCAGCTTCATATTACGATTTACTTGAGCAGACTATATAGGTATAAGTTTCTTCAAAATGGTGTCGTTCGCTGTTCTCCGTGACGACACTCGAAAACAGTCAGGAATGAATGACCCGTGAGTCATTCAGTTTGAGCCGATGGTGATGGAATAAAGAAAGATTCCAAGGAGATATTCCTTGTCTCTAAAGTAACGTTTCTGAATAACAAATTAAATGAACATTTATTTCAGGGAAATATTGTCATATTTACAAATGAATCAGATATTATTCCTAAATGGCGAATAAATTGAATTTGAATGGTAATGTATTTAGTAAAGTCTTCCCGGCTGAAGAATTTCTTTAAATAGGCAAATAAGTTTCAGATGATCATTTTTAATTATAATTCAATTTTCTGAAATTATTAAATTATTATAAGAAATTAGTAAAAAAAGATTTTCAGTTTTATTTAAGACTTTCAATATTTTATCAAAGTAGTCATTTATACATTAATTATTGTAAAGCAATTATAAGTTAGTAATAATAAGTAGTATTCACATAATGATTTTAGTCTAAAAAAGTGATGTTATTTATTTTTCAATAATATATTATAATTGATTAAACAATGTTTCAAATATATTTCCATTGCACTACTAATTGAGGTAAATTAAGATTAAGATAAGCTTAACTAAGGTAAATTATAATATTATCAGACTTAGTATAATGGTAACTTGGTAACTTGTTATAATATTACCACCACAAACCACTAAATTCTTAATCTTTGCTAATTAATTACATCATTAATTCAACGTTGTTTAACATTAACAGAAATTTAATTTCGAACGTTACAACTTTAATTACCATTTCAGTGACAATTTCGTATTCAGGAATATTTACACGCAATCAAGAAAGGAAAAATCAATTCTGAAAATATCTCCTCGGATCTCCCTCCATTTTGGTTTGGTTTTGCATCCTGCACTTCGTGTACGTCGTATACTTTACAATCATCTTAGAAAATGGAGCCCCTTTACCGTAATTTCGTTATTGAACGTCGCTGGAAGTCGGAAGTTCCTAAGACTAGGATGGGTTTCCGGGTTGGTAGTGAGTTACTTCCGGTTCTTGGTCCTTAGTCTTTCTCTACGGTGCAGGGCTCGGGCATGGACTATTGCGGCGGACAGTTCACTACTGTGGTGGTCGCGAAATCGCTGAATTTTTTATCAATGGGTACCCTGTCGTCGTAAAGAGTCGGAGCTTGCAGGATGATCCCAGCTGTACCAACAAGGACCGCCAAAGTGAAGATCCATAGGAATAGTCTGTCTAGGACCATCGCCACGTACTTCCAGTCTTCCTTCACCTTTTTTCGAATTACGAAAGTGTCATATGAAAAGGTGAATGCCATTACATAATAAAGTATAGTAGAACCCTCTATAACGCCATCAATCTGTTAACTGTGGAATTTAGTTTGAAAAATCTCTCGTTTTGCGCGCAACAAGATAAAGAAATGAAGTTAAATTTGATTATGTTTTAACGTAATACCATCTATTTTGAACCAGGTGAAACCATCCTTTAATGTTGAGGGTTGAAAATATATTTTTTATAATATCTCTGAAACTAGGGAGTATACAGAAGAAATTTTCTTACTAAATGAAGAAAATGAACAAATTAGATTCCTTTCCTGGCCAATAAGAAAAAGTACATGTGAAATATTTTCTTGAGAACTATGTCTTACATAAGTTTCATTAAAATCGGTGTGTGTTGGTTGAAAAGGTTCCTTTGTTAGTACAAGTTAGACCAGTATCCAAAGGGGGAATTTTACGCAGAATTTGTAAACGAGAAACTTTGTAACACGGAATATTTTAATTGCGTTATAAAAGGTTCTACCGTGTTGCTAGATCACTTAATAGCTAGGCTGAAGAATTAGGAGGAATTTTTAGTGGTAAAATTGGTTTTATTTCCTGATTTTCGATATTTTCGATCACTAATTTGCTATTCGTTAATATGTTATACACAACCAAATAAAACTGTAAGCTAGAAACATCTCTTGTTACTGTGCCTTTCTCCTAGAAGTCATCTCCCAACTGTAAACGTATCATGACAACTCTAAACTTTTCTACGGATTTATTTTTTAACCTATGCATTGTTTAATTTTGAACAGTAAAATTACTCGACAAATAACATTCGAAATATGTTAAATATTTTCCATTCTAAATATCTGTTAACCATGTAATTATATTATTGTGTAATTATATTATATATTTAAAACATTTTCAAAGTTTGATAAAACTTATGTACATTCATTTTTTATATTAAATTCTATTTTTATGTCATATAAAATCGAATGTTGAAAATTAAATTAAAGTGACCAACATCTGATATAATGATTCCCAGCGACATGCAAGTTCAAGGATAAACAAAAGCGGTTATGTCTTTTTTCATAGGTCACAATTGATGTTTATATAAAATTACGTTACTTTATAAAATATCAGACACGATTATTATAGAATAAGTTTTATTGTAGATGATTTTATAATTCAGATACGAAAAATTCCTATTGGCAAAGTTGTTTTAGAAAATGTTACCTTAGTTGAGTCTTCGAGCATTTTAGTGTGCTCCGCGATGAAACGCACACAGATACAGGATTTGTGGATTTCTGGAGGGCAGCGTGAGTGTGAAAAAGCCGGAGGACTTCGCAGAACTGGACTTTTAACTTCTTCGATCCCTGCGTCGCCGGAAACGGAAAGATCCTCGCACTCGGTGTGAAGAGGAAGCGGCGGCAACGGGGGCCCGTGAATTAAACAACTTCCGCCGAATCTTGCACCGTCAGCGAGACTGAATTTCGAACAAGAGAACGCAATTTTAAATTAAAACACTCTTAACTTCTGAGCACATCAATTTTCCTCCGCTGAAATGGTGTACGAGAATTAAGATATACAATATTATGAATAACTTTTAGTTCTTAAACATCTTCTTTCGATTTTAATCACTGTATTCATTACTAAATGTAATTATTGCTGATAAAATTGTAGTTAGTGTAATCATTACTAATTATAATTATAATTAATTATAGATTATTTATAATATATAATTAAGTAATTAGTCAGTGTAATTATTGCTCAAAATTCATTATTGATGATATGTGTGAATTATAATTAAATTTCATTTTGATAATTGCTTTTAATGTTTCTACACTGAAATATTAATAAAAACTGAGAGTATCAACTACTTCAGTTTGTAACATAATTTATAACACTATGGCTGTTTATTGTTCCACATTAAATCATTAAAAAAATTTTGCGTTAAAATATGTTTGTCTATTGATAAAGCAGGATTTCTGAAGTACCAAATAATATTTTTTCCATGGAATCCTATTATTTAGTGACTAAAAGATTGACAAGTTCTTTTTTAGAAATCTTTTATTTTAATATTACCTTTCTTATTTATTTTAATAGTTTCTGATTCACAAATTATATTGAAAATATTTGATTTCGATATTAAAATTGAATACTGAAAGTACACCTTCATTATTTGTAGACGATTAATAACTGAAATTTTACTTATAATCCTCCCTGCTGAAATAGACAAACGTCGTGAATTTATGAACTATACCTCGAAGGAGAAAGGTCTTCTTTTGAAGGAACACGGCTGTGAAATCGCTTAGGTGTTAAATGTTCTTCGCTATCTTCTTGAGTTGATGATTGATAAGGATAATAGCAAGTCTTCTCTTTACCTCTCACTGTTCTCATTAACACTCTACCAGAACTATATCTGTAAAGGAATATAAACTTGTACAAAACTGTTTTTGCAAAGATAATTATTGGTATACGCATTCAACAAAGAATATTTCGTTATTTAATTATTAAATATAAACATTAAATAATATATTTCAGTCAATTTTGGATATTCTAAATAACTTAAAGTAATAAATTACGTATATTATCAATATGTATAAAACTATATTTTTCAACAATTTTATATAATACTCCAGAATATTTATTTATATGTATATAATACATATTGGTATCTTAAAATAAGTATTAGATAAATCGAGATTTTTCGCCATGGTCAACATTTTGGCTAGAATTTCACATGTCAGATTATAAAAACCAGGAAAAATTAATTCCGCATTGTTTCCACAACACCGCAGAATTGCTCAATAATCTATTTATTATGTACAATTATTATGTATTTGTCAATATTTTAAAAGATTTAGTAATAACAAACGAAGATTTCCAACATAAAATATTTGAGAAATTCTTACCTGTTTGTTTCAAATTTATATTGTGGCCTCCGCATGACTAACAAGCGGGGAAGAATGTGAATAAAGACCCTTTTCACCCAAGGCGCCATTTTATGTGTCTGCGGTGATCGAAAGTGAACATTCAGGACAACGACTGTCACGCAAATGCTGGAAAATATATAAAAGAATGATATTTAGAATTACAGAAAAATGCATTTTATATTGAAACTAACTTTTTTATAACAAATGCCGTATTCAAGAAATATATGCAATTTATAGGTATTGAATGTAAATATTCCATTAAAGAAAAATAATGCAATAGTTGAATAAATATGTATTATTACATTTTCAAAAAATAAGTATATGGTTTTATGTGTGGCGTGCTTCAAACATTCTCTCTTTGTCACGTTTCTCTTTCTCATTGAACTACGAAAAAATGTATAATGTATTGCAGTTGCATGAACTATCATGTGTAGAATAAAAATACATAAAATGTATAAGATTCTTAAATTTGTACAATCTCCAAAAATTTACTTTCATTGTTTTCACTTGAGAAGATAACGCGTTAGATAAATCTTGCTACGAAATTTTATTAAACACGAAACACTTTTATTTACAATTGGAATGCCTATCATAACATTTATGATGTTGAGAACACGAAATCGTGGTCACGCAACAGTGCATGTATAGTGATTAAGTATATTTATAACTCGTTAATAGAAAAGTATGTTATACTTTTCATTATGTCTTCATAAAATCATCAGTAATAAATCTTCAAAATTCATATGGTATACAGAACAAGCTTATTATCTAGTTAGAATGTGCAAATAAACTATAGTAATTTAAATTTTGCATTGTTAACGATTATTTGTGTGTTTTATATTTGATCTAGGAATTCGTGATCTTGTGATCTAAGCATTTCTGTTTACCATGTTCTTAATGATAATAACGATATAAAATTAATTAAATTATAAATTACTGTAAAAGAATATTGGCAATCTGATAAATAATATAACTTTAGTGAATAATTAAAATCGACAGAGTTGCTATTACTATTCTCAGTAACTATTCTTAAAATATTTATCTTTTTGTTTGAACATTTTATATTATTTTGGTATTATTATCAGTAACATCACTTGAGAAATATACGTAAGACATATTTGAATTTTATCAATGTATACTTACATAATAGTTGGTAATCATTTCCTAATATTATCTAATTAACCCTATCACAAAAATATTACCTAGAATCGTATCAATGAAACAATTCTACACGTTTCAAGTCTTTTCATCAAGTATGTAGATACTTACACAGGCTATTTTAAACTTGATTAAAACTAAAAATGTCGACGGAAAAATTACGGAATTTGACACCATAATTGTTTACGTCAAAATCAAGAATGCGTCTGACAAAAAACTGTTTACCGTTCATACAAAAATAATGAAATACTAATATAAAAATATACGATATGAAACAAACAAAGATATAAAAATATAAAATATAAAGTTAAATGTAAATATAAATACTCGAAGTGAAATGTTAATATAAAAATATATAATAAGAAACAGACAAATATATAAAAATATAAAATATAAAATGCAAATGAAAAGATAAGTACGTTATTTTTTCTGCAATATTACAGTTTTCGACTACTGGACACGACCACTATATGCATGAAAGATAAATTCCTATGACGTATGATTTCTAATGACTCCATTGGGAGAGTAGAATGTAAATCTTACGGAGCTATTCGGAATGGAGAACCACTTCGAGATGGCTCGGTTATAGCTGGTCAGGGTTAAAGGACAGGCTGCGATTTAAATTAAACTGAGTTCCTTTGATTTTACTTGGAACCATTTATTGGCTCGGAAATTCGCCTTTCCGCATTCACCCTGAAATGTCGACGCCTTCTTCCTCCCCTTTTATGTTTGCCCTTTGTCCTTCCTTCGGAAATCGGATTAATTGATTCCGATTTAATTAAGGCTTTCATGTTTCATCGGAACGAAATGCCTTCACAAAATTAAAATTCATCATATTCAACGCGTTGTGACTTAATAGCTGGATGTTTTATAATATTCGTACGTGTTTACAATTAAATGATCGATCGTAACAATTGCATTATTGAGAATTTAATTCATCGACTATACTTTTCAGTTAGTGAATTAAGAGTTCAATGCTCAAACCTGAATGTCAAATACCTTTATGAATTTATTTTTATTCCTTAAACAGATAATACTGTTGTAAATGAAAATAGGAAAAATGACGGTTTTTTAGCATTTTCTTTTTATGATTAATTTATAATATATTATTAACTAATATGTACAGTTGATTCTTAAATTCATCAATGTTATTTAATTTAACCTCTTTTATTTAATCACATTCTAAGGATTGGTCTTATAAGTGAAACCGGAGAAAAGCAAGTTTTTTATTATTCCTTTTTCATACGATTAACTTGCAGTATAGATACTAATAAATAATGTTTGGAGTAATTTAACAAGATTTTTAAAAATATTGGAAATGAAAATGAAGATTCAGAAAGGCACAAACTTTTGGTATTGTACCTGTACAATGGGATGGGCTGTGATTAGTGGGAAAAACAAAAAGAGAATTTAAAACAGGAACAGAATGTCGTACAAAATTGTTCACGTACGGATTTCAAGTTTCCATGGCTCTCCTGTTCTTCCATTATTGATCGTTTCGTCTGTCATAGTGCTCCTAAGCATTGACAGTGATGTAGTTCGAATAATACAAGTTTTTACAAATTACACACCGCATTGTAGCATGTAATATATATCTATTAAATAAATTTCGTTAAAACAATAAACCATTATATGAAAAAAATTGCACCAGATTTTTATTTGTTGCAACGTAAATAGATTGAAGACAGAAAAACGCAAGTTGCAAGAAAATTTGAAGAAATAACAATAAATCTTGTAATGAATGTTCATTTGTTTGAAACATAAAGTTATTTTATTTGGTATCATAATTTTTAATAAAAAGTTGATATGAAACTATAAAGTAATGAGTGCAACAATAGTTTCTATACTGAAACAATTATGTCAACTGTTTTAATCGATTATATTTATAGAAAATTTCAGATTCTAAGAACTGAAAGCATAAGATAATGTAACAACTGAGTTTTTAAATACCAAACTAATGCCCGCAACCAATGAAAAATATCTGAAATAAGAAAAAAGTGCACACAAAATATAAATATTAAAGATGTAAAGCAACATAATTATAATCAAATAATTATGATAAGTGCTGTACATAAATTGAAATTAAAATCTTACGATTTAATCCTTGACAGTAATCAATCAACAAAGCACAATATCGAACCTTGTTAACTTATTTAAATTTGGAAACATTTATTTTTCCTGAATAAACGGAAAGATTTCGTATTGATAATCAAGTAGAAACAATACCTACGAATAATGGACATAACACTAGCACATACTACCGCACCCGTCAAAATAACGGTTTTCAGTTTACTTATTTTGCAATTACTGATATCTTAAAAGCGATAAATATCCAAAATAATTTCAAAAACAGAAAATTTCATTTATGTAATTATTTCGAGTCCACATTAAATATTTTATTTCTATTATCAATTATAATACTTTAGAGTAAACGTAGACATAGAATGAGTACGGATTCTTTTTGTATCTAACGAATTATGAACAACGAAATAATTCTGTCGAATGCAGTTATGAAAGAAATCATAGTACAAGAGGTTAAGGAATTCTAGTGTTAAAGCTTGTTATTACATTTATCAAGAAAATATGCGCGTTAAGTGGCTAACACTGGAACTATTTTTTTTGTATGATTTTTGTATGATTGTATGAAATGATTCGGAAAATAAATAGTTTCGCTTGAATACTATACCAAATATTCGAAGAAACTGAATATAGTCTATTGTTACAATTTTTATACGGATTACATATTAATCGTTGTTAGAAAATCAATGTACGATTGTTTTATTCAATGCGAGGTTTGACGTACTATATGAATTTGATTTTGAGTATATATCTTTTAATCATGGCAATACGATCTGATATTATGTTAAACATGTTCGTTTTAATATTTAAATATATATTTTGTTCAGTTTGTACATTCCCCGAATAAATAATCCGACAATCGTATTAAATACTCGATAGTTCTAGTGTTAAATAATGATAAAAAGTGGAAATAAATCCTCAAAGAAAAAGCTATGAGATTGAAGTGAGGAGGTGTACGTACTTATGTTAGTGTCAAACTGATGAATATTTTCGTAATAGTGTGGAAAGATTTCCAATATATTTGAAAAACGGAAAGATGCGGTATGTGTGACACGTTAATCAGTAGCAGCATCGCACGGGACTTGTCTCCACCCAAGGTGGAATCAAGAAACCGACCTCTTTTCTCCAGTGAATTTCAAGGGGATGGTTGAATGCCCTTCTGTATTAAACTACGCCTCCGTTATTGCTTTTTCCGTGAAACGCAGAGGCATTGTGCTGCCATTAAAACCGAGATCGGCCTTCTCTCTTTATCGGATATTTCTTGCGCGTTGCGAAGCCGCAAATAACTCGAAGTTTCAAAGAACTACGTAAAAATTGGTCTCAGTAATTCCTTCCTCTTTATATTTTTTATTCTGAGAAACTGTGTGATAATAAGGGACAGAGTTTAAAAACGTTCTTAGATCGTTAACAGAGATCGTTAATAAATATCTGTTAGACTTTTATGCTTTTATTTATTTATTGTTGAATATTACATGTCACCGAAGCGTACTGAATTCCTATTATTTTTCCTGTTGTTAACAAATATCATTGGACAAGTTATTTTCGTAACACAGACGTTGTTGAATGAAACCATACTTGAATTTTAAATTATTGGAAACTAATAAAACGATAAAGTGTAAAAGTTAGTTGTAACATCTGGAAGAAATGCTTTTAAGTTTAGGATGGTCAGAATTAAGCCATATTACAAAGTTTTCCCTTACTTGAATAAATGTTTTAACAAGTTTGTAAAACTAATCTATTGATGATTTAGACAGATCGTATGGTTCACTTTAATTTTTTAGTTTGACCAATCTATGAGACCTTAAATGTTCGAGTATTAAAAAATAAATTGGTCAGATTGTATCGCCTTTTATCTAAAATGAATCTAAAATAGATTAACCAATTTGTGC